CCCCAAAACCCCAAAACCCCAAAACCCCATTTTCTAATTCTTTAGATAGTATTGATGATGTCATAATTAAATTTGTTTATTATAGTATAAAGATTATGATTACTCTTAGTAAGTTTAATTGAATTAGATCTGCCTAATTTGTGTTAATTACTGTAATACTCAAATTGGAGATGAAGTAATTTTTATGATGTTGTTGTAGTTTGCAAAGAAAAACAGGAAGATGCCTACGACTACGTAGATATAGCTTCCGATAATAGCCCAAATATTGGGTTTTTTCCCAGCAATTTTAAAGCTTATAATGTAGAACAACCCTGGAAGTATGAAGTTTATCGTTGATTCAGAAATTGCTGCAAAAAATCCAAAAATAAGAGTAATATCGTCAATTAAAACAGCTAGCAGCATTTGGAGAGAGAATAGACCAATAGTATAGGAGATATACAATGGTGTTGAAACTCTTAAGGCTATCTAGGCACCATTGACTTCTTCATCTAGTCTGCTAATATTTAGACTCACATTTCCTGCTCTTAAAGTGGCTATTCTTATCTCAATTTATTTAGAAATTGTATTTTTCAGGGCTTCATCAATCATCATCAATAAACATTCCTTGCCAGGAAGGAAAATAAAGGGAATGTTGCAGATAAAAATGGCTAAGAAAATGAATCTGATGAAATAGGAGGGTATATTGGTCTCAACTTGTATGTTTTCAAAGATGTTTGGGTTCAAGTATTCCCCATAAGTTTCCATTGCAAAATAGGAGAAGAGAAGGTAGGTTATAAAGCAGAAGAGCATCGCCATCAAAGTAGATAAATAACCATTTTTATTGCTTCTTACCTCAAGTTAGGCGAAAATGGGGTAAAAGTTCAGAATGAATCCATAAGCAGTCAAAACTATGAAAATTGAATCAACAATACTGCCTTTCTAATAAATCTCTACCTTTTAATCACTTTCATTCACAAAATATGACTTAAAAAAAGCTTTCGCAAAGAATATTACTAGCATTGAAATCACTCCAAAAATTAGAAGGATACTAGTCAGTTTGAGCTCTTTGAAGCTTCTCTTCATGACAAATGGCAATAGTATAATATAAAGCGCTACAATATAAAATACCTTTGTCGTGACTATATACTCAATAAGGTAATCACTGTTTGAAGTGTCACCAAACACGCTTTTCGAGAAAGATACACATATATTACTAAACAAGAGAGCATACATAGTCACAATCAAGGAGGTAGCAGCAGTAATTACAAAGTTGATTACGTATATAGAGGGTTTCCCCAAACAAATATAAGCTATTTCACCAAATGACCTATATTTATAAGATAAATAAGCATTCTTGATTTGAGTATAACAATGATAACGTCACTCATATAGAAAATATCTAAATGTGACAAAATCTGATTTTTAAACTTACTCGTATCCAAGATTTTGCCTAGCAACTAAAAGCAAGTATACTGCAAATAGCAGTATAAAAATCATGAGGATGTGTAACATTATTCCATATAAATATCCAGCTTGTAGGATAACGTATGGAAGAGACACTATTCCTGCTCCAATAATAGTTGAAATGAATGAGAGCGCTGCGCCGGAAATACTTAACCCCCCTTTAGAACTCTTTTTGCTTCCAAGTAGAGGACTCTACATATCAGAATACGTCTATCTGCTCTTAACAAGAATACTGCTCTCAAATGGATCGTAGTAAGAACCTCTCCTCTGAGGCTACAAATTAGAAAGGTTGAGATCTAAGTTCGATATGTTTAGGAATGTGCTTCCAATTCTGCTTCTACTGTTTTCCATCAAGTTAAATTTAAATACTATATAAGATTAATAGATATCATTATTAATATATTATTATATTATCAATTTGTTCCATATTAAATCTTTAAGGGGTTTTGGGGTTTTGGGGTTTTGGGGTTTTGGGG